AAATTAATATACCCTTGTGCACAAGTGCGCTCGGGTATAAAAAGTTTACGAATCGTACAGTGCCGAACAGAAGTATTGGCACAGCGCATTTTTCGCAATATATGCAAAGTTTTTTATTCTAATTTATTTCCGATATTTTTTATAAAAATATTGTTCATTCCTACACCAGAAAACATAATAATAAAATCTCGAAGCTTTGTGCAAAACTCAGGAAATTTCACTAAATTTGCACACTAATTTGCAACTTTTTATTCAGATTTTTTAGAAAAATTCTAAGTATACAGTATTATAGCCCACTCAAATTTAGTATAACAATGTGCAACTTTGAAGTCGCCAGAAAACCGCGTTGATTTTTGGTAGTTTTTTTCACGCAAATTCTTCCACACAAAGTATATTCGACAATTATTTTTTGTATGGAGAAAATTAGCAACACCTTCCATTAAAACTATAGCAACTTTAAACTTGCATTTGCCGCACTAGGGTTGCCAACCATACTATAATATATAGTATTGTTTTACAATGGATGACCTTTATTCTGAAATAACAATGTTAAATGAAATATTATATATGTAAAATGTCATTGTGAGTTTATAATCAAAAAATGTTACATAACTGAGAAAGAATTAACAAATTTACTTAAAATTGTTTCATTTTTTACCCTCTACTCCAACAACTTCGGCATTCACAGGAAGAAATGTTCCATCACTTAAAAATAGTTTTTACTTTTTCTTTTAAATAAAATACTATTTATATTTGAAGTGTACTATATTTTTTGAACTTTTTTGAAAAAGTACTATAAATATCTTAGAAAATGTTGGCAACCCTAATGAGCACTGTTATTGTTTTATCGTTATGTTACTTCCTATTTTAATTCTTGAAGTACGCTGTTTTTGCTATTATCTTCAAAGTGCGGAATAGCCCGATCTCCTGCGGTCACAACTTTTTCAACAATCAAATAAAATTTTTTTTGAGACAGATATATTTACGTGTGTCAAAAATTTAAATTCAATGACTTAGATTATTTAAGATACCGGCGTTTGGGCGTGTCAGTCAGAGGCGGACCCACGGCTGTTGTTTTAACTTTTCTCAAATGGTGAAAAACGAATATTTAAAAAAATGTTAACGACCAACACAGATCTTCATTATTTGAGAATATTAAGCAACACTAGTCTGTCCATTACAATATTTCAATCCTTGAAATAACTGAATAAAAAACAAAACATTAAACTGTCCTTTATTTTTTTTGTGAGCATATTTGCAACCATATTTAGTAATCTTTTAGTGCTTCTCTACGCGCTTAACATGGATTTTTTAATGCTTATTTTCTTCGGCCCTGGTTAATAGACAGTAGGCGACTGTTAATGGTGTCAGAAAGGAAGCTGCTAACAATCCTTTCGAGTGTCTTAAGCGCCAAGGAGGAAAGGCTGATGGGCCTGAGGTCCTTCGGGTTAGTACGTGAGGGCTTTCCGGCTTTTGGGATAAATACGACCGTAACATTTCTCCGTGCCAACGGTGTGTGATTAAACTTGAAACAGGCCTTTAAAATACTTAAATGCCATTTCGCAGACACATCCAGTGCCTTAATTAGTTGAGCACTTATTATACCGCTTGGTCCTGCAGTTTTATATGGTTCATCCTCCGAGATGGGTATGTTCACGGCGTAGGAAGAAGTTATAGAAGGGGAGTTTTCCCCTACAGCTATGTTCCCAGGAAAGTGGGTATCTAGGAGTAGCTCAAGGATTTCCTTTCTCGTGGAGGTCCAGGATCCATCGTGTTTTTATAAGGGCCTATCGGGTCAGGAGATCTGGAGAGAATCTTCCGTAGCCTGGCAGCTTCGGAAACACCATCGATGCAACCACAGAAAATTCTCCACGAAGATATCTTTGTTTCCCTCATAGCTTTTTTTTATAGGCCCGGAGTAAGCGTTTGTACTCCTGCCAATCACGCTCACAGCTGAGCCTTTTGGCCTTATTGAATTGCTTCCTGCAAGATTTGCGATGAGAGTGTAACTCCCGCGACCACCAGTGGGTTTACGTTTGCTCCACGGTTTGGGGTCAGGGCACGACTGACATAGGGCATCTGAGCAGATCGAGGTAAATGCGTAGACCATGTTCTCTAAATTCTTGGAACATTCAGGTTCTATGAGGGCTAAGCGAGAAAGCTTATCTTCTGTTTATAGTAGCTCCAATCTGTGTTTTTTAAGTTTTGCGTAGTGTTGGGCTAGTTGGAGAGAAATTCAATACTATTTCAATATAGAGATGATGAGAGAACGAGGTTCATCTAGAACCCCCCAACCCTCGACCCTCTCAGTTAAGCTTTCACTGCATAAAGTAGTGATGGAGAAATGTCGATGGGACGATCGATGATATCGATGGTTTCAATTTCCCGCCATTATAGAATTTTTCTAAACACTATCGATAGTAGTATGGTGTTCACATTGTTGGAATTGGACTATAAGATATGCACATGCAACATATGTACATATGTATGGTGTGAACTTCTTTGTTTGTAAACATGTTCTTCATGGGTTTCGTTATAAAATATGTTATTCAAATACATGATCTCATTTTGTTTCACACAAGATATTTTTGTTTATACAGATTAACTTTATGGGTTTTGTAGTTACGAAACGAGTTATTAAAGAATAAAATTTCTTCTTGGCTGTTTATATCTTATATAGTAAAAGAATAAACGATCAAATCACTTGCCAAATTTTTCCTGAACCATAAAAAATTTAATCAAATTTGCCTGTTTCAAAATGTTATGCCGTGTTTTACCAATCAATTTTAAATTTTTTAGGAAATTGTGTTATTTTAAATTTTAAGTTTGATACATTTTAAAATCGATTGGTGAAACCGGGCATTAGTGTTATATCTCACCATATGTAAGAAACCTTTCGATAGTATCGAATATTTTGCACTATCACTATCGAAACAATCGAATGTATACACTATTGATAGTTTTCCAACACTACTTTATGTGAGTTACTGCAACCTTGAAAATTTAACTTGACCGGGCTAGTAGGAAACAATTTTTAAGATATGGTTTAAATAGAGTAGCAGTCAAAAAATAAAAATTAACAAGGGTTATACTGTAATTAATGTAGTGAAAATTTATGGGGGAAAAATGGGCTACGGTATCGATAAAAAAAAATTTTATTGAAAAATCCCCATCTCAAAAGATTTTCCCATATACTTCCAAGAGAAAATGTCGTAGCCTGGACATTTGTAAAGAAAAAGTTTACTTGTTGTATTTTTTTTTTTCGTTTTACAATTTGTTCACCTTTTATTATAAATAGTTTTTTGTTTATAAGCTCTTTAATTGATTTTCCATATTTACCATGTAAAAATAAATTTTTTACTGTCTTGTCTAATTTCAGTGCGAGGTAATTGGGATCTACTTTCTAATGTTGCCGCCATAACTCCACCCCGATCCTTAGCGTTTATAATGTCTCGTAAGTTTTTATGTACAATTTTTTAAAACGGCTGAATTTCGATAACAGTACAACCCCATAAGCGACGGAGCTATAAAATTTCAAGTGAAAATGCCCATATTTTGAACGTTAACTTTTATGATATAAACAGCCAATTGTTTTAAAATTTCGCACCTTGAATTACTTGCCACATATAATCGCAACAGTATGCTATCCGTTGTTTGCCAATGTGAATTGGCCCTGGTTTTTTGTTGGCTAAATGAGATGAACAGGTGCCTGTGCATCTGCAACAAATTAAAAAATGTCTCAAATAAAATATCCCCTCGATGATAGTGGATCGGTTAAGCCTTACTTATCCAATGCTTGAAGTAAATGCCAAAATGGTAGTTCATAGAAATGGAGCAAATATACAATACTAATGCAATGGTCGGCGTAATATATTTTGCCGGTATTGCGGGGTTCTCCGTATCAGCATATGGCAATCAAATTATCAAGCGTAAGTTCCTTATCTTTAAAATTTTATTTAAAACACTATGCTTGCCTTCTGCATACAATTTGAAATATCTAGCCAATGTGGCATTTGGCTCACGTAAAACCACTGAATGGGGGTATTTAACCACTCTTTTATGAAGTTCGCCATACGTGTTTTCTCTTGTTGAATAACTGTTATTCCAACCATCGAACGAAAATGCCTTTATGTCAACAGCAAAAAATATATACATAAGTACGACAACAGCATACCCGGGTATGCACATTCGTTTTATATGGGAAATGGCATTGTGTCGTGACAAAAATTTGATTATTTAGCAAATTTCTTTTAATCTGGCTAAGTATTTAAAATATGTTTGTTTTAAGCATGTAAGCCAGATTTTAGAAATATGTTATTTTACTAAATATATAAATAATGAGTTTTTCACAGACCACACTTTACGATTGTGGGTTTGAATGCATACAGTATATTTTGCTTAGCTGCCTATCCTTCTTTGCACGAAGAACTTGTGCTCGGTTAGCAAAAATCAATTAAGCGAATTTTCTTTACTACTTCAATGAGGAAGGTATCCGACTTACTTACCACGTAGAAATTACTTGAAGCGAAATTTTTTCTGAATGGCATCTTATTATCTATTTAACTACATAAATAATAATGATAGCCGTTTTCGTTGTTCTGCGAGATGAGCAAAATAAATGAAAGCTTGTAAAATGAGAGCAAGTGTAGGTAAACCTAATACTTTCTTTGATAATTGATAATATTTTCAAATTTTTAAGGCAGGTATCGCTAATGTGCAAGTATGTTGAATGCACCTATCGGTGTAGTTTCCTTATGAATGTTAGAAATAATGCCGCTGATGCACATTTTGGGGTAGGTATCTTAATTGTGCACTTAAGCACAAAGGCAGCAAAGCAAAATATACTGTATGCGAAATGGATTGGTTAGGTACAAAACCGCGGTTGCCAACTTTTGCATTCTTGAGACCGACACATCAACTTCAATGCTGCATTTTTGAAAATTGTCTATTTAAAACAATAAAACAAGAAAGAAAATAAGATACAAATCTCCATATTACGAAAGTTCAACGTTAATACTTTAAAATATCAACTAAAGTGGAAATAAAAATCACATCAAATTATAAATTATAATTTCTATATACATATGTATTCGGCACGGGGAATTTTTCTCAATGTACATATGTAACTTTTTTTCTAAAATTTTTCCGCGAATTTTTTGTACTACAACAAAAACATTTTCATACTACAACAAATACATAAAAATTTATCTAAACTTCGAGCAAAACTCAGGAAAATTAAATAAATCCGACTACAAGTTGACATTGTTGTATAACTAAGTGCCAGTAAAATATACATATACATATATATGAATGTATGTACATTAGGCTGGGTCAATTTTGATTTTAGTGAATCGCATGGTATTTCCTGATTATGCAGATAATTCTAAGAGAGAGTATAGAAGAAACCATGGCTCGGAAACGAGTTTCGAACCAGCGCATTTTTAAATGAAAAAATTACCTTTCACGATATTAGTTTTTTTTAACCGTTTCATACAAATTTTGCATATAAAATGTCTGTATTTAATAGTGGTGGTAAACTATCGGTAGTGGACACCATCGATAGTTAATAATAATTTTTGGGTCACTATTGATTGCGCCGATAGTCATTTTTTCGATAGTGCGCTGACATCGATAGTCTCGATAGTGTGGATGAGTTTTTCTTAAATTTGAATGTAGCAAAATGACATGTAAAAACTACGTTTAATATAATTGTTGATTTTTGCCATTTTTTTTTGCTAACAGTGTCACGCATTTTCTTCCATATAAAAACGAACTCTTTGTATAGAAGAAAATGCGTGGCAATGTTTATTATACTAAAATTTAAAAGACTATAAAATTGCATACCAAACGTTTTTCTCAAAATTCTGATTCCATAGTTTGAAATTTTGGTAAAACTGAGAGGAATTTTATTAATTCCACAAAGTTTGAAACTGAGATTTACATGGTTTTCGGTAGGCGATAAGCTGGGCTTTTATAAAAAATTAATAAGTTTTAAAGGAAAAAAGAAAAATATGTAGCGACACTATAAAATGTTCATTAATTTACTTAAATTCTTGTTTATTTACTTATAAAGCTTAAACATTTTTACTTTTATGATTTTAAGTAAAGTTTCTTTTGTACAAAAAGTTTCATGACTTAAGCTCTAGTTTTCTGTAAAAGTTATTACATATAATGAAACACATGCAATATAAACATATCTATAAGAAACACATTACCTTTTATATTGTGAGTTAGCTATTTGTCCATATTTTGTTATACTATCCGCACGAGTATTATAAAAGATTTCACACAAATGCGTTTCAACATAGATATGGCATTTGGATAGTATCGATAGTATCGAACTTCAAATATGGCCGATAGTGGTCGCATCGATAGTTGTGATAGTGATGTCCCATCGATACTATCTATATCATTTTTAAAAAGCAAATCGTTACCCAAAGGTGAAAATGCCCATTTTTTTAAGTTGTTCAGGAGAGAGTTTCGCATTATCTGTCATTCTGCATCAAAAACTAAATTTTGAATAAAGTGGACTTGGCACGTTTGCACTTTTAGGTAGCGAAATACATGTGCTCTGTAAATTAAAAGATTAACAAATATTAAATAGAAGCGGTTTTTGTATCTTAAGAACAAAAACTCGATATGAAGGCGTCTAGTACTTACCGTTTTTTGCCAATTTTTTTGCTGACAGTGCCTCTTCATACAAAAACTACTTTTTTTTAACAAAAAAAATCGTTAAATCTTAGCTAATTTCACTTTATTATAATATCATTGAATTACCACGAAACTGTATACTCAAAATCTTTCTACGAAATCTATCTAAAAGGGTTTAAATTTTTACAAGAATTTGCTTCTTTTTTTTTGAACATTGCACAAAGTTTGGAACTTAGATTTATACGATTTTTGTTAAAGAGTAAACCATATCTTTACGAAAAAAATAACTAAAACTAAAGAATAATAATATGTGGTGCGTCGTTAATTTTGACACAGTTTTCGGACGGTAAATATGGTAATTCAATTAAAAATGCTATAACCTAAAATATGCTCATTTTGTATCAATTACATAGTTGTAACAAAAGGTGAACACTCTGTAAAACCGGCATATATCAAAAAAATAAAATTTTTAGAAAAATTAAATTTTTATTTAAAAAAAGCGCAGGCTAGAGACCAGAGGACGAAAATATCCTTCTCCACTTTGAAAGTGTCCCAAAATAACCGTCACTATTTAAGAGAAAAAATAACCCACAAAACAGAACAGGTGGTTTATTTTTTGTAGATGTGTGCTCCGCTCAGTCCGAAAGGGTCCTTGCATATCTTTTTCGTTGCTGTTGGACACGGACACTTATCGCTGGAAGAGGACAAATAAGTGTTACCGTAGAATTGCGTAGAAATATATCAAATGTGCCAATCGATAATAATATCGATAACAAATTCGATAAAATTAGCGATAAAAAATCGATTAAAATATCGATAGCCAAATCGATAGAAATATCAATAACAAACTCGACAAAAATAACGATAACAAAGTCAATAATATTATCGATAACAAAATCTATTAAAATATCGATATCCAAATCGAAAACAAACTATAAAATATCGGTTATTATATCGATAAGTCCCGAGAATACCGATAATCCGAAAATAGTTCCCAGGTTCAGTCTCTGTGACTTTATAAAATTTTCTTTATAATTACCTTTATTTTAATCTTTATTATTTTATCTTCATCTTTACTCATCTTTATCTTTTTCTTAATATTTATCTTTATCATCTTTATGTTTATCATTTTCTAAATCTACATATTCTCCTTCACCTTTGCCCTTATATTAGTAAAATTTTTAAATTTACCTTGATTTTAATTTTTGCATTTACCATTACGCATCATTGTTTTTGTTTTTATTTTTACCTTTGCCTTTATCCTTTTCTTTATCAATAAAATAAAATAACTTATTTTCGGTGTATCATACTATGAATGTCCACGCTCTCTTCTTTGTCATAAATGTTCGCACATGTATGTGTACGTATATGTCGTGTAAAGAAATGCCTAACGCTTTTCTTCCACTTATGTACGCCCACTTATATTTTTCAGTATTACAATCAGTGTTGCCGTTTTAGCCCTTTGGTGGCTAGATTTAGCTACCACATATTTTTTTTGGCCACATAGCCCTTTTTTAGCCCTTTGGAGAATTTATTTATACATGGCATGAAAAAGGGGTATATGCTTAATTTGATCTAATTTATTGATGAATTTTTAAACTAAGACTGGTATATATACATATATGTAATGTATGTTCCTTACGTTTTTATACATACGTACTGTAAAAGTGTTGGGGCTGTTAACTTATCTATTAGCGATTTAACTATAGTTTGAAATAGATAAGTTTACGGCCCTTAATATGCTTAATTTGTTAAATGGCGCATCAAGTCGATTGGGAGTGCATGTCCTTGTGGTGTGATTGT